ACCTACTTTCAACGACCGGCGTGTATTCAACAATGGCTCGCGCCTGATGCTTCCTCACACTCTGTTCAAAAGTCGCGCTCTCGCGTGGGACTTCCTCACACAATTTTCACATGCCGCACCCTCGACACTCAGGAATCACGCTCTCATTCCGGCCTTCCTCATGAGTTGCCTGGTCCTCACGGTTCATGCAGGACTGGCGCTTCAGCGACCCGGCTGGTCGACCCGGCCGTCTGGGACCGCCCGACCCGCCCATCAGGGTCCGCCCGCCCGACCCTTGCGTCCGGCTCTGCCGCTTGCATTCCTGCTCCCAACCCCCCTCCTGCAAATCCTAGCAGCCCTCTGCACGCAGGTGGTCCAATCAATTCTTTCTTTCTTTTCAAAACCCTCTTTGCTCCTGGGAGGGGTACCCTTCCCCTCCCCTCCCTGAGGTGTTTCCCCACATGTTGAATGGGGTTATAATTTTCTCTCCACCCGCGTCGCACCCGCGCTTCTTCCTCACACTCCCTCTTCCTCACCCCTCCTCCCACCTCCTCCTACACACCACACGTACCACACACACACACACACAGCACACGCTATCCGCCGTACGCTCGCAAAGCATGGCAGGCGTGCACTTCATCGACGCCACAGGGTGCTGCGCAGGGGGGGCGGTCGCTATCGGTCGTACGCTCGCAAACCGTGGCAGGCGTGGTTTCACCATCGAGGGTGCTCACGGGGTGATCTCGCTACGTGGTCTGTATCCGTCCTAAGGTCGCGGGGCGCGGCAGACGTGGCATTTTCTCCACACCAGAGGGGTTGCGCAGGGCGTGGTCACTGAGCGGGGTCTCTATCCGTCCCAGGGTCACGGAGCGTAGCAGGCGTGGCACTTTTTCACCACAGGGGGTGCGCAAGTGGTGGTCCCCCTACGCGGTCTCTCTCCGTCCAAGGGTCACGGGGCGTGGCAGGCGTGGCACTTCCTCGGCACCACAGGGGTTGCGCAGGGAGTGGTCCCTGAGAGTGGTCTCTATCCGTCCCAGGGTCACGGGGCGTGGCAGGCGTGGCACTTTCCCACCACAGGTAGTGCGCAAGGTGTGCCCCCCCACCGCGGTCTCTATCCGTCCCAGGGTCATGGGGCGCGGCAGGCATGGCAGGCGTGGCACTGCCTCCACACCACAAGGGGGGCGCACGGCGTGGTCCCTGAGAGCGGTCTCTCTACATCCCAGGATCGCGGGGCGTGGCAGGCGTGGCATGCTCTCCACACCACAGGGGGTGCGCGTTGTCCTTGTTCCTGTTCGCACAGCGTGTCAAGCTCCAAAGTATTGGCAGGCGTCACCAACGGTAGGCATCGGCGGGGCAACGGCCACCAGCATCGTGTTCGCATGTTTCCCTTCAGCTAGCATCACGCCAGACATAGTACAAGTATGTGGGGTTCCTCGGCAGCGTACTTGGAGAGGGTTCGCGAGCGGTCAGGGCGCCCAAGATGGCCCAAGATGGCCCCAAGAGGGCGTCCGATGCTGCAAGATGGCATTCAAGATGGCGCAATATAGCCGAAAATGGCTCAAGATGGCTTCCCACGTACCTCCAAGAGGCCCGACGAGGGCCACAAGACTGTTCCAAGTGCTCTCGGAAGCCCCTTTCCAGACCCCCCCCCAAGAAGCCAGCAGTATTGACAAATCGATGAGGAAAGCATGGATGTGTGCATGTCTCGCCTTTTCGCTTCCGCTGGGCTTCTGAAGCCTCAGAATGGCCTCAAAATGGCACAAGAAAGGCCCAAGAGGGGGCCAAGAGGACCCCAAAACGGCCTCAAGACCACCCAAGATCCCTTACAAGATGGCCCCAGGAGGCCTTACAGGGCCCCCAAGGGGGACCCTAGGAGAGCCCCAAGAGGGCCACAAGAGGGCCACAAGAGTGCCACAATACACTTTAACAGAGCCCTATGAGGACCTCAGGGCCTTCAAACATATCCTTAAGGGGGCCCCAAGAGGACCCAAAGCAAACCCCAAGACGACCCCAAGAGTGCCCCATGCAAATTCCTAAGATGGCTCAAAGAGTTCTTGTCCTCGTTGAACCCCCTCATCCTTTTCTGACCATTGTCCCCCTCCTCTCCTTGCCCGTTCGTTTCTCTATGCGTGTCGTTTCTTTCCGTCTTCCCCCCGCTCTCGTGGGCAACGTTTCTGAATGAGCAAATGGGGATTTTTTTGTCGCGACCGCAGGCGAAGGCGCCGGCGGCGTCACAGATCGGCTCGGGCTACGAGCAGAACGAATTGCCTAGTCTAGTGGGGATACTGTTTGTTCGCGAGCGACACAGAGCAACTGCGCGCCGTCCAGAAGCGAAGCAACAGCGCTACGATCTAAATTACGGCCTAAGACGGAGCCGAACACGCGCAGCTAACTAGCGGCGGGCAGAAATTCAAACTGAGCGGCGGGAGCGGGCTATGCTGCAGCTCAGACGACGGGAACGCCAGGCACGCACTAGTGGGTATGCTTTTTGGTCGACAGGATCGCGAGGCGGGTCGAAAGCCGTCCCAACACTAGTCGGGCCGCGACTAGGCAGCAGGAAAAGGCAAGCGAAGCGAGCGAGCGGGCATGAAGAATGTCTGTTGTGTTCCACCCTTCTCCCCCCCACCTTGTCCCTTCCCTCCTCCCTCCCTACCCCTGCTTACGAAGCTGCGCCAACTACGCTTGGGAGGTAAGGAAGGTATACCCCAAGGGGGATACGATCGAAAACGAACAGGGCGTGCATCGAGGGTTTGGGGATATACATGTTGAGTGGCAAGCGAGCAGATAAGAACGAACAGTTTTGAGATGAGTGTTGTTGATGTTAAGATGGTGATGTTGATGCTGGTGTTGATGTTGATGTTGATGTTGATGCTGTTACGATGATGATGATGGTGATGATGACGATGATGATGATGATGAGGGTGATGACGATGATGATGGCAAAGTTAATGTTGTCGATGTTAGTGATGATGTTAAGCATGATAATGTTGATGATGATGACGGAATGATGATGAGTTACTGGTGATGATAATGAGGATGAAGGTGATGATGATGATGATGATGATGATGATGATGATGATGCTCATTGTGATGATGATGGTGATGGTGATGCTGACCCTGATGCTGATGTTGATGTGATGATGGTAATGGCGATGGTGATGATAATGGTGATGGTGATGGTGATGGTGATGGTGATGGTGATGGTAATGGTGATGGTGATGGTGATGGTGAAGGTGATGGTGATGGTGACGGTGACGGTGATGGTGATGGTGATGGTGATGGTGATGGTGATGCTGACGATGCTGATGCTGACGATGCTGATGACGATGCTGATGCTGATGTTGACGAAGCTACCTGCGACCTCGGAGCGCCCGCGCGGCGCCAGCGCGGGCCCTCACCGCCGGGGCGGCGTCACCGGCCGGCGGCTGCGGCCCCGCCCCCCGCGCGGCCGGCCGCCGCGGGCCGCCCCGGGCGCGGCCGCGGCGGGCCTCCCGCGCTCGCCCGGCGGCGCGGCGCCGCCGCCGCGGGCGGGCTCCTCCGGGCGGCTGCGAGGCCGAAGCCCCTCGCCCCGCATCTCTTCCCAGGCAGATCGCGTCGTGAAAAAATCAGGACGGGTGGTTTTTGGCTATTTTCGGCCCCGGGGGGCCCTCGCCGGGCCTCGGGACCGTCAAAATACAGCTCAGGACGAAAAGCCGGTCCCGGGGAACGGGTCGGGACTTCCGGGGACGCCGTCTTGAAAAAATCAGGACGGCGCATGACTGGGTTCCCAGAGGTCCAGCGTGTTGTTAAAAAAATCTGGGCGGAGGTTTTGCCAGATGTTCGACCTCTGGCGGCCCTCGCCGGGCCCCGGGACCGTCAGAAAGCGGCTCGGGATGCAGAGCCGGTCCCGGGGAACGGGTCGAGACTTCCGGGGCCCCCGGAAAGAGAAAATCAGGACGTCGCATGTCCGGGTGTTTCCGAACCATCCGGTCCTCGTTTTGAGGAGACAGCGCCCCACGTCTCCTCACTCACTCACTCCTCCTCCTCCTCCTCCTCCTCCTCCTCCTCCTCCTCCTCCTCCTCCTCCTCCTCCTCCTCCTCCTCCTCCTCCTCCTCCTCCTCCTCCTCCTCCTCCCCTCCCTGCCTCTGCTCTCTATCGCATGCCCTCACGCGCTTCGTGGCCACACGGGGCGCTCCGCCGAAGGCCCCAGTGGCAGGGCTCGCATGGCGGCGCCGCCCCCATTTCGGCACACCCCTCGCACGTTTCGTGGCCCCCTGGGGAGCTCCAGACATCTGGCGTCGCGGAAATCGGAAGACGGTGCTCTGTCGCCGTGGTCGGCCTCCCGGGCCCTTGCTGGCCCTGGGGCCCGGTCGGAGCCGGTCAAGCACGCCCGGCGTGACGAACATGCTGTTTGTCTTGCGCGACGAGCTCCGGCAGCCGGCGACCCGATCTTCTCGAGACATGGGTTCCCGACCTCTCGACCACTTCCCCAGGACAGGATTTCATCCCGAGGCCCATCACAGATAGATCCGCCTCGTGTCAACGTTGTGAAAACGACGTCGGAGTTCCGAGAAGCCCAGATCTCAGGAGGATGGGATTTTGTGCAGTCTGGCTATTCTTCCTCCAGTTCGGCCGCGAGGGCCGCTGTCGGGCCTCAGGTCCACCAAAATGGGCCCAGGGCGAAAGCTTACCCTCGGGGAATAGATCGGGACCTCTGGGACCGCGCCTTGGAACAAACACATCGTCGGATTATTGGGAGGGAGGTCGCCACTGGAGGGGGGTCTGGCTCCTCCTGAGGATCAGGCATCGAGGATCAAAGGCCGAGGATCATTCTGGACGGGTCTGTGCGTTTGGGGTTTCTGTTCGGGTGGGATCGCCAGAACTCCGACGTCGCGGAATTTTTCGCAGCGTGACCCTGGAGGTCTCTGCTGAGTTGCCTTTGACAGTCCAGAGGCCCCACGACTCGACGAGGTGGGGGGCCTGAAGGGTCGTCCTCCCAGACGGGGTGGCGGAGGGGGTGGCGGCCCCACCAGGTGGCCACCCTCGTGGGCACGCTGCCCGGCTCCTCGGACGCCGCGTCGGTCGAGCCGGTGCCCGACGCCCCGTCCACCAGGTTCCTGAACTTCCGCCTCTGGATCACGGACATGCCCATGCCCTCGAGGTCCTCCTGTAGGGTCTGCACGAACGAGGTGGGCACGGAAAGAATGGGTACAATGCTCCACAGCAGTTCTTGTTCATTTTGAACAGGACTCGCTGTCCGCGCCGCCGCGGCCTGTGTCCATTTGAGACAGAAGGCCGCCTGCCCAACAGCGGCCGCTGCTGGTTTGGGACAACATTTGTTGTTGGGCATTGTGCCCATTGTTTCAGTACCCATTTCGGGTGTCCAAATAGGGGAGAGCGTCCAGGGGGACCGACTCAGGGGGGGAACCACCGGCCCGGAATCGGAGGCGCACCGCCAGTGGACAGCAGACCAGCGGCAGGCCCCGAGAGGCGAGTCCGCCCGGCCTCGTGCGCGGTGGGGGGATTGGGCCCCTGTCGGCGGGCAATGGGCAATGAGGGGTTGATGCGTCCCCTCCTGAGCCTACCCAGACCCCCGACGTCATGATTGTTTCATGACGCGACCCCCAGAGGTCCAGACCCATTCCCCGGGACCAGTTTTTCATCCCGAGTCGTTTTTTGACGGTCCCGAGGTCCGGTAAGGACCCTCAGAGGCCGAAAATTGCGAAAAACCTCCCGTCGTGATTTTTTCATGACTCGAGGAGGTCTGGGTGTGCCCCTGCAACCTTGCCCCCGATCCTCCGTGACGTACGGGAGGTCGGAGGGCCCCTCCACCCCGAGCCGCGCCAGCGGGGCCACGAAGCTGGCGAGGTTCACGCCCGCCAGCAGGGCTGCCAGCCTCACCGGCGGCTGGGCGCCGCCGACGGCGGGGGGCGGGGCGTCCGCGCCAGAAGCGACCAGCTGGTTCGGCCCAGCCATCCGCGGCCAGGGCGGCGCCGCCGCGCCGTTGGCCGTGGCAACGCCGCTGGCCTGCGCCGCCCTGGCGGGAGGCGCGCTCGTCAGGTGGCCGTCGAGGACGGCCTGGGGCACCATCGCCGGCGGGACCATGGCCGGGGGCCTCTGCTGCAGCGGCGCGGCGGGCATGTGCCCCGGCGGCGGCCCGCGCGGCGGTCGCGGCGTGAGCCACTGCGCCTGCGCCAGGCTGGGAGGCGGCCCCGGCGGCGGCCTCGGGCCCGCGGCCCGGCTCCGGCTGCGGGACCCCCTCCGCTGCGGGCGCGCCTTGGCCACGGCGCGGAGCGGCGCACTGGCGACGTGGGGCGCCCAGTGGGAGCACTGGAGCTGCTCCTCCGCGTCCAGCCGCAGGAGCAGCCGCTCCACGGCGGGGTCCGAGGCGGCCACCATCTGCCGCAGCAGGGCGTCCTTGCTCTCGACCTCGGCGAGCCTCCAGCCGAGGTTGTTGCCGAGCAGCTGCGCGAGCCGGGCGGGCTCCAGCAGCTTCAGGGCGAGCTCGACGTGGTCGCTGAGGCCATGCTTGCTCTTCAGGCGCGCGATCTCGGCCCAGCCCTCCTTGTTCTGCACGTTGACCGCCATCCGCCGCTCGGCCTCAGCCATGGCGCCCGCCCCGTCGGCCTCGGAGGCCGCCGCGCCGGCCCTCCACGCGGGGATCACGCCGAGGGGCGCCGACTCCGGCAGCGCGGCCGCCGCCGCGGCGCCGTGGCGATCGGTGCCGCACTGCTGGCACCTGTCAGGCAGGCGCGCTGACCCCCGAAGCCCCGGCGTCGCGGCTTCCTCGCAGCGGGCGACGCTGCCGCGTTTCGGGCCCCGGGACCCTCAGGGATCGATCCGGGGCCCGACTCCTCCTCCTCCTCCTCCTCCTCCTCCTCCTCCTCCTCCTCCTCCTCCTCCTCCTCCTGCAGAAAGGGGGTGCCAGGCTCCCGTCGTGCTTCCTCGCCATGCTGCCATTTCCTTCTCTCGCCACGTCGGATCTCGGGGCGCCGCCGTGCCCGAGGCATGGGCGCAGACGACGGGCCAGGGGGCGTGTGGAAAGAAGAGAAGGGGGCCATGAGGTCTGGGAGATGTCACTGCCCTGGCCATGATGTTCACACCTCCTGGTCCTGACCCCCCTCTTGGATACCTGACGACTTTCGGGTCATGGCTCGAGTAGGGGGCCACGTGCGAACCCTACCCCTACCCCCACGATTTCTGGGGGGGAGGGTGGGCTTCACTTCGCTCGGGAGCTCACGAACGAAGGGAACCCCACCCCCTCCCCCTCAGAAACCGTGGGGGGTAGGGGTAGGGTTCGCACGTGGCCCCCTACTGATATTCACACCTCCCAGTCCTGACCCCCCTCTCGGATACCTGATGACTTTCGGGTCCTGGCTCGAGACTCTGGGACCCGCTCGGGAGGATCTGAAGGGGCCCCAGGACACACAAATAAATACACACAAATAAAAACATTCCCCATATTTTCTTATATTTTCTGGGTTCCTGTCTTCCCCCCCACTTCCCATATTTTCCCATATTTTCTGGGGAATCGAGGATTAATTGTGTCTGTGTGGTTCTTTTCCTCCTGAGGATCCAGGCGCCCTTGGAAACGCCTCGACGGGGCGCAGCCGACGGGCACAGCATCAAGAGGCGAGAAGGCCTCCCGAAGCTCGCGAAACCTCCCTCCGAGAGCCAACCCCAGACATGCGCCGTCCTGATTTTTTCAGGACGGCGTCCCTGGAAGCCCCGACCCTTTCCCCGGGACCGGTTGTTCGTCCTGAATCGTTTTCTGACGGTTCCCGGGGCCCGGCGAGGGCCCCCCCGGGCCGAAAATAGCCAAGAACCTCCCGTCCTGAGTTTTCTGCGACGCGATCACGGCTGGGCCCGAGCCTGGAGTGGCGCCGGAACACCAGCAGGCCGCAGCTGGGGCACGTCCAGGACGTGTCCAGCGGGCCGACCGTGGCCGGCGGCATGGCCGCGCAGGGGGGTCCCGGGGCAGCCTGCGACCCGGGCGCTGGAGCGGGCCAGCATCACTTCCTGTCGGACTCCTGCTGAGCCCAAAACGGCTCTTTCTCATCCTCGTCCTCCTCATCCTCATCCTCCTGTGTCGCAGCATCAGCATCAGCATCAGCATCAGCATCAGCATCAGCATCAGCATCAGCATCAGCATCAGCATGAGCATGAGCATCAGCATCAGCATCAGCAGCAGCAGCAGCATCATCATCATCATCAGCAGCAGCAGCATCATCGTCATCGGCATCTTCATCGTCGCCATCGTCATCGTCATCCTCAGCGTCACCGTCACCGTCATCATCATCACCACCACCATCATCGTCATCATCACCACAACTACCACCATCAGCATCACCATCATCATCATCATCATCATTATCATCATCGTCATCATCATGCTCATTATCATCCTCATCCTCATCACCATGATTCTCATCCTCGTCCTCATCATCATCATCATCATCAGCATCATTATCAGCAGCAGCAGCAGCATCATCACCAGCATCATTATCATCAGCATCATCATCCCTTCGCTCGCATATCCTCAATCTAATTCGCCTGTGCCTTTACCTCCTCCTCCTCCTCCTCCTCCGCCTCTGACGCTGGCGCTCCCTTTCCTCGTCCTTCGCCACCTCTGCTTTCTTGGACTCATAGCTCCACCAAAAAACAAAAATCCAAACACTCCCTTGATGGCCTTCGTTCTGGGTTCCTGGTACTCCCGAACAACACGTACTCACCATCGCAGATTAGCAAGTTCGCTGTCGTCGCTGTACTTCCCCCGGCCGCGACGACTGGATGCGGTGGGGTGGAGGTTCCTGGGAGCGTGTTTGGTGTGGGCGGTCATTGTTGCAAGAGCACCCCCCGGGAGCTCACCTAGCGCCACTAGGGCGCTCCATAGATCTCGCGGGGCTGACATATGACCCGTGCCTCTCGGAGACTTGACCCACGCAGTGCCTCGTAAGGAACTCGCATGATCAGTGCCTCTCGGCGGCCTAGCACACTCAATGCCTCTTGGGTACCTGCCACATCCACGGCACGGCTCGCGGGCGCACGGCACGGCACGGCACGGCACGGCACGGCACGCGGGCGCGGCACGTTCCCTGCGCTCGAGAGCGCAGGGACCGGCACGGCGGGTGGGCGCATGGCACGGCACGGCCCTCGGGACGCACATTAAGTTCGCACTCTAAGAGCACGGGCACGGCAAGGCACGCGCACGACGCGCCACACGAGCAGCGCGGCACGGCACGGCACGCGGGGTGCACAGTGTCTCGCGGTCTCGAACGCGGGAACCGCGCGGCACGCGCACGGCACGGGCACGGCACGGAGAAGCACGGCACTGCACGGCGCTTCTTCCGCAGATCATAGCGCGGGCACGGCGCGGCACGCGGGCGGCACACTACCTCGCGCTCTAGAGCGCGGGCACGGCGCGACACGCGCACAGCACGGGCACGGCATGGCACGGCACTCGGGCGGCACATCTTTCGCATCCTTGACATCCTCCTCCTCCCTCCTCCCTCCTCCCTCCTCCATCCTCCTCCGTCCTCCCTTGCTCCTCCTCCTCCTCCTCCTCCTCCTCCTCCTCCTCCTCCTCCTCCTCCTCCTCCTCCCTCCTCCTCCTCCTCCTCCTCCTCCTCCTCCTCCTCCTCCTCCTCCTCCTCCTCCTCCTCCTCCTCCTCCTCCTCCTCCTCCTCCTCTCCTCCTCCTCCTCCTCCTCCTCCCTCCTCCTCCTCCTCCTCCTCCTCCTCCTCCTCCTCCTCCTCCTCCTCCCCCCTCCTCCTCATCCTCCCCCTCCTCCTCTTATTCCCCATACAGTGCTTGCGCTTAGGGGTTCTTACTTCTCTTCTCAGGAAGTGACCCTGATTGTCGGTCTGGCAGTTCCGCGCTCGCTGTCGCGCCCCGTCGCCGCATCGTCGCCGCCCGGGCCTGATTGTCGGTCTGGCGGCTCCGTGCTCGCCGTCGCCGCCCCGTCGCCGCCCGTCGTCTTGGCCTGAATGCTGGTCTGGTGGCTGTGTTGTCGCCGTCGCCGACCCGTCGCCGCTTCGTCGCCGCCCGTCGCATGGACCTGATTGCCGGTCTGGCGGCTATGCTATCGCCGTCGCCGCCCCGTCGCCGCCGAAATTGCACAACCTAGACTGCACCAGATTCCTTTTTCGCAAAATGCATCAAGATCCACCTCCCCCCATGGGCCTTGACGGTCCGCTTTGTTGTATAACGGATAGAGCAAGGTACGAGTGATGACGTTCTGGTGTAGGGCGAAGCCCCTAAGGGGGAGTGCAGAGGGGGGGTAGGGGGAGGGAATGAATGTTAATGGCCGCTCCGCCTCGTTATTTATCAAGTAGGACGGCCTCTGGGGCTTAGAAAAGAGCGCTTCGCTCGAGACATCCTCGGAAAACGCCTCTTGAGCGCTTCTTGGGCCGTCTTGGGCGTTCCAAGAGAGCCCAAGAACCGCCCAAGACGGCCCAAGATACCTTCAAGACGTCCCAAGAGCGCTCCAAGAGAGCCCAAGACACCCCAAGACTGCCCAAAGACGTCCCAAGAGGCCTCCAAGACGCCCCAAGAGGCGCCCAAGAGGCGTCCCAAGAGGGCAAAATCATTGATTGACAAAAAGAAAACGTACATTTTTAGCATATACGGCTTGTCGGCTTTCATGGCGTTGAAGACGGTCCAAGAGGCCACCAATACCGCCCCAAGACGGCCCAAGAAGCTCCCCAGACGCCCCCAAAACGGCCCAAGAGGGCGCCGAGACGGCCCCAGAGGCGCCCAAGACGGCCCAAGAGGGCCCCAAGAGGGGAACCACGAACCGAAAAGTCTAGCCTTTCGCCCCAAGAAGCCCCCAGGAGGCCCCAAGAGCCCCCCAAGAAAGGCCCCCAAGAAGCCCCCAAGAGGCCCCCAAAAGGGCTCCAAAAGGGCCCCAATAGGACTCCCAAGAAGGCCCAGAGACGCCAAATAAGGAGCGATCGGTAACGCAAAAAGCTCTCCACACCAAGGCTCCCAAGAGCGAATGGTGACGGAAACAAGCTGATGAGACCAAGGCTCCCAGCAGAGAGCGGTGACGTAACAAATTCCTGACACCAAGGCCCAGCCGGAACGGGCGGCAACGCAACAATCTCTGAACACCAAGGCTCCCAAGAGTGAGGGGTGACGTAACAAGCTCTCAACGCCAAGGCTTCCAGTACGAACGGTGGTGTGAATAAATTCGTTTCTGCTTCTGAAGCGCTCTTTCCGTTTCTGTGCCGGGCCAGGCTGCACTTCAAATGTCTGCCCCATCGTCCATCCTAAATATGAACGCGTACCATCCCAGGCAATCCCTCATCGGTCCCCCCCAGAGCGCGCCCATTTATCCGCCGACCCCTTGGGGATCATCGGCGTGTGAGATGCTTCCCCCTCCCCAAACCCCTCCCCCGGGAGCCTGGTCCGGTCGATTTGGAGGGGGGGGGGGGGGTCCGGGACGAGCGATCCACGGGGCTTTTCCTGGCCCAAGAGGGCCTCAAGACGGGCCACGAAGCCCCCAAGAGGCTTCCAAGACGGCCCACGAAGGCTCCGAGACGCCAAACGACCGCTCCAAGACGCCCACGATGGCCCCAAGACGGGCCAAGAGGTCTCCAAGACGGCTTGAGGTCCCAAATGAGCTTCCCAAGAGGGCCCAAAGAGTCTAAAATTGCTGATTTTCCAGGGTGTTTTTCTATGTTTTTTGCTGTTCCGCCTTTCCGGCTTCCCGACGCTCCAAGACGCGCGACGAGGCCCCAAAGATAGCCCCAAGATGGCCCAAGAGTCCCCCAAGATGGCCTCCAGACGGCCCACGACGGCCCCAAGACGGCCCAAGAGGTCCCCAAGACGGCCCAAGAGGGCCGATTTGAAGGGGGGGGGGTCCGGGACGAGCGATCCACGGGGCTTTTCCTGGCCCAAGAGGGCCTCAAGACGGGCCACGAAGCCCCCAAGAGGCTTCCAAGACGGCCCACGAAGGCTCCGAGACGCCAAACGACCGCTCCAAGACGCCCACGATGGCCCCAAGACGGTCCAAGAGGTCTCCAAGACGGCCTTGAGGTCCCAAATGAGCTTCCCAAGAAGGCCCAAAGAGTCTAAAATTGCTGATTTTCCAGAGTGTTTTTCGATGTTTTTTCCTTTTCCGCCTTTCCGGCTTCCCGACGCTCCAAGACGCGCGAAGAGGCCCCAAAGATAGCCCCAAGATGGCCCAAGACTCCCCCAAGACGGCCTCCAGACGGCCCAAGACGGCCCCAAGACGGCCCAAGAGGTCCCCAAGACGGCCCAAGAGGGCCGATTTGGAGGGGGGGGGGGTCCGGGACGAGCGATCCACGGAGCTTTTCCTGGCCCAAGAGGGCCTCAAGACGGGCCACGAAGCCCCCAAGAGGCTTCCAAGACGGCCCACGAAGGCTCCGAGACGCCAAACGACCGCTCCAAGACGCCCACGATGGCCCCAAGACGGGCCAAGAGGTCTCCAAGACGGCCTTGAGGTCCCAAATGAGCTTCCCAAGAAGGCCCAAAGAGTCTAAAATTGCTGATTTTCCAAAGTGTTTTTCGATGTTTTTTCCTTTTCCGCCTTTTCGGCTTCCCGACGCTCCAAGACGGCCAAAGAGGTCCCATAGACAGCCCCAAGATGGCCCAAGAGGCCCCCAAGACGGCCTCCAGACGGCCCACGACGGCCCCAACACGGCCCAAGAGGTCCCCAAGACGGCCCAAGAAGGCTCCAAGACGGCACCAATAGGGGCCCAAGAGGGCGACCAAACATGTTGAAACTCTAGTGTTCTGCCCCCAGGAGCCCCAGGGGGCCACAAGAGTGCCCCAAGAGGCCCCCAGAGGCCCTCACGAGGCCGCCCAGACGCCCCAAGGAACCACCAAGAAGCACCCCAAAGGCTCCGAAACGGCCCCCGAGTGGCTCCAAAACTCGCGGTGTCGCCGTCCGCTCGGACCTCCCCGCGGAACTGCCCGAGACCCTCTGGCGGTGGCGGCGAACAGACACCAAACAAATATCACTCGCCTTTTCACCCCTTCGCAGCTTCTACTACCCCCAGATTGGCATAAACAAGGGGTCGGCTGTGTGGCGTAAGCCTAAGAATCAACAAGCATGAGTTTCCAGCAATCCCTTGCAACACACAAAACGAAGTGCACGCGCACGCGTCGTCGCGCGCGCATGCCGAAATCTTTCAAACACCACAAGTGTCCGAATGCTGTCAAAACCGTCTTTCCCGAACACATGTTTTAACAATAGCTTCGTACATTGAACAATTCTATCGCTCGGAGAAAAAAACGGTTACACGAGACACGCTGGACCAATTGATGCAAAACACAAGCATGCGAAAAGACAGGGTTGCAACACGAGGTTGGTAGAACCGACGTAATACAAGATCACCGCTCCGAACATAGAATAGACATACAAGACGACATGTAACATGATATTTGCTTGTCTGAAAAATGATCGCGCTCGTGCAACTTCTTAAGTAAACAAAGAGTACTCCACAGTTCCACCGGATGCTACAAAAAGTGCGTCCCGCGAACGCGCATGCATTCCAACGCCATTGCGCGCGTGCTCTCGCAAGACTCTCTTGCAAAAAAAACGAAGTGCACACGCGCGCGTCGTCGCGCGCGCATTCCAAAACAGTCCCTCCGAAAAAAGCCGTCGTAAGGGTTGCAAGACCGAGCGTCCCGCAAACATAGACATGAAATGCAAGTTGTTGCAAATACGTTACCCACTCAAAGAAACACTGAGCATGGGCCACTGCGAAGTCCGAAGAAACCCATATAGTTGGTTTACACGTTCGTCAAGTTCGACCAAACGGGACCCTCGCGCCGCATGCCGAAATAAGTCGACAGCCCTCGCGCGCCTGCTGTCGCAAGAACCCCTTGTAAAAAACACGTGACGAAGTGCCCACGCGCGCGTTGTCGCGCGCGCATGCCAAAACCCTTGAGAGGAAAAAAAGAAACAACCTCGGTGTCGTATGGATTTCAAAACCGAGTGTCTCGAGCATATATAAAACAACACGACTGCGCAACGCCAGCTGTGAGAAGGAAAAACTGAGCTCGCGCTCATGCGAATCCTTAAGGAAAACCATCGGTGTTCCAACATGTTCATCAAATTCTGCCAAGCGGACCTCCCGCGCCGCATGTCCAGCTCATTCGGACGCATCTGCGCGCGTGCTGGGGGGGGGGCACGGTCCGTGTCAAATAATACCACGCGGGCCAATCGCGCGCGTAAGTCCGTCAAAAACCTCCATCGCCGACGCGAGGACGTCGTCATCGTTATCGGCGGGCGTGATCAACATCGGCGCCATCATGGGCATTGCCGTCGTCATCGCCACCTTCATCACCATCGCTACTTTCCTAATCGTGTGTGCCCTTGTCGGCGTCGCCACGATACAGCGCCCGCCCAAGTCACCGACTCGCACTGAAGTGCCCGCTGGGAAGTGCCCAGCGGTCAGCGCCACCGCGGCCGCGTCGGTCGCGCCAAACTAGCTGACCGATGTGCACGCGAGCATGCGCGGGCTAGCGCGGCCGCGTAGATGCACCAGCCAACGCCAAGCACTCATCGCAATCGCCGCGGCACGGGTTTTGCAAACCAAGTTGCGGGTGGGTGGATGGGATGTTCCAAGAGCATGAAATGTGTCAACTCAATTGTAAAACAACAGTAGCACCACCTATATATATATATATTGCAGCACATAGGTTGCACCACGTCGATTGCACCGCATGAGCTGCGCACCGTAAAGATTGGACCACATTGATTGCGCCAGATAGATGGCACCACATACATTGCACCACATATATTGCACAACATAAACTGTGCAGCAAAACTGCGCTGCACCACATACATTGCACACCACATGTTGTTCCACATGTGTTGCAATCGCATGTTGCCAGAAGCACACTGTTTGCGGCTTCCGTTGGCTAGAAAAATGCAGATGGGACCCCAGATCGCCATCGCGATTTCAAGGAACACGCATTTTGACCGGGGAGCCTTGTGAGAATGACTGGTCGTCGGGACACCAAAAAGCACAGACTCGACCTCTCTCAGATGCGCCGACGTGCCTTGTCTTGTGACTCGACCGGCGCCCGCGAGGCAGGACGAGGACGGAGAGAGGAGGAGGACGAGCAGCAGCAGCTGCAGCAGCGGCGCACCACGGGAAGGACGAGGAGCACGGGGAGACTGTCTCCGGGGGCCCACAATAAGGCCCAAGGCGTCTAAAAGCGTCGGCCCTCCTCCTGCTCCTCCCCCCCTCCCCCTCACGAGGAGGAGAACCACGACGACGACGACGACGACGACGACGACGACGACGACGACGACGACGAGGTCGAGAGGGCCGGTAGCGGCAGGAGGAGAGGTCCACGGCGCACACCAGCGCCAGCTTGCGGTTCGTGATCCACTTCCAGAAGACGATCGCGTCGCTGGACTGGTACACCCCAAGCTTCTCCTCTTAGGGGGGGGGGAGCGGGGGGCACGCGGGAGGAGCGCGCGGCGGCGCAAGCAGCAGTCGAGCAGAGAGGGCGGAGCAGGGGATAAAGGGAGAGGGAGGGGGGGCAGAGGAGGGCGAGAACGAGGACGAGAAGGAGAAGGAACCGCAGCACGAGTGGATCAGGAGGAGTAGTAGCAGCAATAGGAGAACGAGGAGGAACGATGAGAGGATGAGGCGGCAGAGGATCGGGAAGGAGAAGGAGGAATAGGAGGAATAGGAGGAGGAGAAGGAGGAGGGGATTTTTTTTTTTAGAGGGGATGCACGACAGAAAATAGGGGAGCGGCCGCCCGCTCTCGGCGTACCTTCACCGATGGCGCATGCAGTGCCCCGCCGTCGAAGCGCGGGCGGATGGCTCCCCACAGTGCGGCCGCTGCGGCAGAGGGAGGGCCCCACTGACGATTTCGACCCTGACCCTCGGCGACAGCAGAACGTCTACGGTTAAGTTGGGCGTGTCCCCCTACAGGGGGGATTTTGAGCGATTAAAGAAATATGTTTTTATTATATTTTTTAAAGAAGAACAAACAACAAACAAAAAAAAAAAAAAAAAAAAAACGCACAACATGAAGAGAACTAATCAAACATAGTCCCCAGACTATTTTTTCTATGTTTGAATATTCCTCCTGTAGGAGGACAGGCCCGACTTGAGTCTACGGTCGGGCACTTTGAAAGAGCGTGTCGCCGCGGCGGCCCCAGCGACACGCCATGCCTTGCGAGCGGATGGCGTGCCGATCCGCTCCGCGGGGCAGAGGGGCAGGGAAGGGCTCGGGAGGTCGGCGCCGGGGGGCTGTGAAATGGACAGCGTGCCGCACCGACGCGTGGTGGGCAAAGAACCGGCGGAACGACTCGCTATCCAAAAGCTCCCGACCGCAATGCACACGGTGGCACCAGCCCTCGAAAGCAGCACTCTGAGGAGTGAGCACGCTGCCTGGAAAACAAACCAGCTGGAATGAAAAGGGACAAGGAACAGGGGAGGGCGAGGGGGTGGAGGAAGTTCGGTTGGTGAGACGACAAGGAGGAGGGAGAGGGAGGCGACCGAGGCAGGAGAGAAGGAGTAGTCTCACAGGGTTCCTGACGGTCCCAGAAGACTCCCTCCCGAGGGCCCTTGAGACCCCTCCCTCAGAAAACTACAGTTCGACAACCCCAAGCAAAACGTCTCAACTGACCGCCCTCATCATCATCAGCAGCAGCATCATCATCAGCATCATCATCAGCATCATCATCACCATCATCACAAGCAGCAGCAACTTCATCATCACCATCATAACCATCATCACCATCATCATCAGCATCATCATCAACATCACCATCATCATCATCATGACCACTCACGAGGGGGAAGGAGAGGAATTCGACGGAGAGAAGGATAAGGAAGAGGCCAAAGAAGGCCGATGTGACTCGAGGGTCACGACGCGGGACGCTGAATCGGGACGGCAAGACCATGTACGCCCTTCGTCTTCACTCTTCGTTGATATCCTTCCGCACCCCCCTCCCTCCTCCCACCTCTCCCTTCCGAACCCATTCCTCCTCCTCCTCCTGATGTTCCTTGTCTTCCTGGTCTTCCTCTTCCTCCCCCCTCCTCTTCCTCAATCTTGATTATAAGCGACTCCCCTTGTCGCGCCACCAGACGTGTCCGCGGGCCCAGCTGGGCGTTCCGCTTGGACTTCCTGTGCAACTTACTCTCCCGAAACTGAAAACAATGTCAGATACAAAAACGGAGGGCTGGTCGCTTTCTAGAGAAAGCTCTCGCCTTAGCGCCGCGCGCATTCGTCATCAAAGTTTCCAGGAAGGCGGTTCTCTTTCAAAAGGAGGCTTTCGCTTGAGACTTCCGCGAAGTCCATGACCAAGGCACTGAAGATGCGTAGCGCTGACAGGGCTGGGGCGTTGATCCCTTTCAAAATGGGACTATCGCCGGGAATTTCCTTGAATTTCACCACCCCGCCCCACCCCCACCCCCTTCATGCATCTCTTATCTAGACTTAGGTCGGGCACGTCCCCCCACAGGCGGATTTAGGGCGAAAAAATCGAAAAAATCCAAACATACCCAAAAAAAATCCAAAAATGCTCAAAATATCGTCCCCTGATTATCTTTAAACTATTTTGGGAAATTCCTCCTGTAGAGGGACAGGCCCGACTGAAAAATACACGGGTCGGGGGGGGGGCGATCCTTTACACAACAGGATCTCGCCTGAGCGGCAGGCCCGCCGGGACTTCGCCACTCCAAGGGGAAAGAGCCTCCGGAAGTGGAGAAAAGCACGCGTGGAAGGAGAAAGGCATGAGCGCAGGGACTTGTGAAGGGGGGACTCGGGACGGTAGGGCGCATTGCATCATCGTTGACACACACACACACATCCTTAGAGGGCAGAAAATCCACCCCCATGGTAGTCGCCCCGACAAGCGAAGCCGTCTAGTAAACGCACCTAAGGAAGGAATCCAACAAGGCAATGCTTTTAGTAAACGGTAAACGCGCAGGGCCGCTTAGTAAACGCCGATTGACTGGTCCGGATGTTTTTTCCTCCCTAGAATCCTGGATTCACCGTGGCCCTCCTCCTCCTCCTCCTCCTCCTCCTCCTCCTCCTCCTCCTCCTCCTCCTCCTCCTCCTCCTCCTCCTGGGAAGCCGTTTTGGCCCAGGTGCTGTGCTTGCGACTGCAAACTTCGAAACGGCGGCGCACCCGCGGGCTTCTGGCTCGCGCAGTCGCCCTTGCAGAATGTCTCGCCCTCTCTCAAGCGAGATCATTCTGCCATTGCGTCGCCTCATGCCAAGACGCCGCCATGGGCTGAAAACAAAGAACGACGCATCCGCACAAGCACTTCCGGCCCTAGGCAAATGTGGAAGCGCAGTTATCCAGAGCGCGGGCGTAGCAAAAATTGACTCGGCGAACTGGCGGGGGTGGGAGCACTGCAAGCGCCCCCGACTTGAAGCACCTGTCGCCGAAGAAGTTGCGCCCCGTGGCGGCTGGCAGCGCGGGCCCCCTTTTCCGCCCTCTCGCCCAGCATAGAGCCGCCAGCCTCGGCCACTACAAGTGTCCAAAACCTCACCGCCTTGGCTGAGAAATTCGGAGACAAGTCCGCTGCGCCCCAATACAAAACGCGGCTCGTTAAGGATCCGGATCAAAATCGGCGAGCCCCTGAGAAGTCCCCGGAGGAAAACGCGCGATGAACCTCGGGCGCGAGTCTTGCACCGCGCGGACAAGCTATATAAGGATGCTGATGCCGCGGAGCGCGCCGGGCAGCGGCCGTCGAACCGCCAGGCCGCGGCGCTCGCGGCGCAAGCGGTTGGACAGCAGAACGCGTTGCACAGAGCTCTGGTTGATCGCCTTCATAATGCTGTCGTAGCTCCTGCTGCCACGGAACCACCGCCTCCCGAAGGGCCCCGCTTGCGTGACTCCTTGGAAGGCGAGGAAGGAGCGATCGCCATCGACTACGGAGACGGAGCCCTCGGGTTGGACGGCACAGAGCACGAGCTCCCTCGACAAAATAAATAACAGCTTGAGAAGCGCAAGTCCCCGCTGAACGCCCAGCTCAAGGAGCTCGCGGACATTTTCCTCGGAGGCGCAGAAGCCGGTCGACGGGGGCAAGAAGAATCACGAGACCCACCTCAAGCGCCTCAGAAGGACCACGTAAAACTGCCAGAGGTGGAAGCGCTGGAGGCAGCGCCGGCACCGCGCCCGACCCCGCAGCCGTTGCGCGAGGGCGGCAGCCGAGAGCGCCGGCGATGCCCGCGGCGCTGATGCTCGTGAGCCAGGCATTGTCGCCTCCCCGCCCCCAAGAAGCCCTCCTTGGATTTGGGCAATCGTCTCTGGGCCCCAGCCTGCTCTGGTCTGGACAGCTCTGAACTGATCGCTGAGACAGCGAACTGCACGGGGGTCTGCGGCCAGGCCTTGACCGGCGCGTTCCGTTGCCCATGCTGCACGCGTTCCAGAGCACCGCTCGAACTCAGTGGACCAGCTGTGGGAGGGCCCCTGGCGGGCCCTTCGATCTGAATGGAAGCCGCGCGCAGTCCCTGCGGCCCCCGGCGTTGGCCAGGGAAGTTCAGGTAGCGTCGCCACGTTTGTCGGAGACTTCCTGGGGCGCCGTGATCCACCTCCGCAAGGCGGGGCCCGCGCCGGTTCCGCGTCGCACTGCGTCGGCGGCCGTTCGGCTCCCGGGAGGCGCGCCCCTCGCGATGGCATCGGCCTGCTCGACGGGCCCGGAAGGCCTCTCAGAGTTCCACCGCGGTGTTCTGCGCAAGTTCGGCGCCGCTCTTCCTGCCTCGCCAGGGGCCGCGCATCCCTGGCGCAGGTGTTCCGACGGAGCCCGCAGAGCTCCACGCCTGCGCCGCGGCCTCGGCGGTCGGGGGCACGCCCCGCGCGCGGCCCTGCGGGCGGCGGAGGGGCGAGGATAGGCTGGGCTCGCGCCCCAGCTCAAGCGGATCGCCCCAGGCTGCGAAATCGACAAGGCGCTGCCCGGAGGCGGCCGCGAAGCCCCGCGAGCCCGTCGGGGCGTCGCTCTTCCAGCAGCGTGCCACGCCCCCAGGCCGGGGGGATTGGAAAGCCCTCCCCCCGTCCCTGTCGAGCCCGCGAGAGGTCCTGCTCCTGAGCCACCGCGCTGGGGCACCGACGGGGGGTCCAAGAACAGAGCTCTCCCGGGGTGGGGATGCCAGGCCAAGTGGGAGGCATGGAGGCCAGGGGGGAGGATGGAGGTGTGCGGATGTCGGGCCGTGGTGGAGGCTTGGTGGGGGGTATCGCTCCGTTGTAGGAGAGAAATCGTGGGGTCGGGGGCTGCAGAAGGAAACAGAGCTCTCCCGGGGTGCGGATGCCGGGCCGTGGTGGAGGCGTCGTGGGGGGTATCGGTACGGCTTGGGCGAAAAATCGCGGGGTCGGGGGCCAGGGTTGGCCCGTCGCCGGGCTGCCAGAAAGCGTTTTCAACAATGTCTTAACACTCTGCGCAAACTGTGGGCGAACAGAGCTTGGCTCGCCCC